ACTTGCATTGCGGTGTTAACAGAACGCGGTAGCAAAGCAATCGCGCATTAACGCGGGGCAGCTGAAGAGCATTCCCAGGGGCGCCTTTGACAACCTCAAGAGCCTCACTCACATCTGGCTGTACAACAACCCCTGGGAATGTGCCCTGCGCGGAGCTCTCAGCCTTCTCTCTCTCAGCCTCTGCCTCCACGTGATGATCAATGATAAGGTGGCCTACACGGTAATTTTAATACGACCATATCTGGAAAGTTGTTGTTTTTATTGTAAATGTGAGAGAGTTGGTACCCTGCCTCTTACTCGGGTGGTTTCAGGTAAATTACGTTCAATATTAACTACCACTTCACCTCTAGTATGTTTGTTTCACTTTAAGACAGCGGTATAGATGTTGTTTGTGAATGTCCAGTCAAGTTCTAGCTCTGTTTATTTCATTTCATTTCTCTCTTAGTCTTTTCAATTAAAGCTTGATAATTCATCCACTCTGAGTGGTGACACCCAGCTTGGTGACGTGGTGGTGACTTCATCGCAGTGGATGGACAACGAGCTTTAAATTTTAATTTTCTAATGCCTTAAACAAGCTTGATGTGTAAGTAAAATGTACCCAGTGTTCCGTGTAGTTGTATTTACATTTACTCCGCTCGAGTCTTATTAACACAGCAGAGAGCAAGTGTTTCAGGTTACTGCGCAGTGATGAACTCGCGTCTCTCTCTGCTGGTCTGTTTGACGGCCAGAGTAATCTGCAGCAGCTGTATCTGAGGGCGAACCAGCTGACGGCTTTACCCGTTAGGGTGTTTGAGAAATTGACCCAGCTCACTTACCTGACTCAATCAACTGAAGGTCTTGAACATCATCCCTGTTGTACCTGCACTACGCCGATAAAGTGACTGCACTCTACACATGTTTTAATTCATTAATCGTATTTTTCTCAAACAATATGGAACCCTTTCACCTTTTTTATCTTTCATATTGCACTTGAGATTGATTGTCATCGCAAAACGCTCTTTCTAATGTCGGTTATCTTGCCTGGTAAACCGGAGGCGTAAAGAACAAACTCCCCGTGAACACGGTCGAAAGCCTTTTTTCCCAAAAATATTTAAATGAACAAACGATCCAGGTACACACAGAGGGCATGTATGGAAATTGACACCAGTATAAACACAATGTATATGCCATGTGTTTTAATAAACTCTATACATCCCTGGTGTCTACTTCCTTAACTCGGATACCCCTCTCTGGGTGGGGTGGGAGGAGAAATCAAAGGGGTAGGGTGCTTTTATCAATATTTGTGTTTCATGCACGGTGACTTTTTATGGTCGGGTAAAATCAATTAATCTTTAATCACTTCATATTATTATATTTCTGATCCATAGGTCATGGCGAGCAGTATTTGTGGATTGACATTTGTTATCGGGGAAAAATGGAACGCTGAGATTGAGTCTTAATATTGTTCATCGCACTTCAAAGTAATAGAATTCACCTGGACATGTTACCATTTCGATCACGATCTGATCTGATGCGGTTTCAAGTTGCATCCCTCCAACAATTATTTTATTTTACACACTTGTTGTACAGAACGTTGGTGTTTCGTTTACTATATGTGTGCATATATGAACATTTTGCTTGGTTATGGATCATTTCATTACCTACAATGACGTAGTTTACATTGACATTCTTAAGGCTATTCATTATATAATTTAAGTTGTAGCAATGTATTATTTGCTGGATAATTGTTTACGTATTCGAGGTTTTAGCAACAACTATAAGTAGACTTAAACAATGCTTTTGTAAATCTTAACTTCACAGTACAACGGAACATTCCAATGTGCCCACAACGAGAGATGTTGATCCGCGTGAAACACCTCCTATAGTAGATGGTTCAGAAGTACAACAGAAGCACTGCGAATAACAAGCTTGGAATAACATTGAGAGATAGACGAACGCGTGGATCAGGTAATAAACTCGTACAAATTACATCAAACATCAAACAGTTAATAAAGTAAGCTGGCATGGCCATGTTACGGCACGAGAAGGAATGATGGAATAATCTACTCTAACACATCGGCTTTCGCGACAAATCTTCTTCTTCTTCCTAGCGTTGTTCCCGCTGTGAAGCAGGGTCCGCTTTTCGGCATTGTCTTCTCCATTTGGCTCGGTCCAGGGCATCTTCAGGGGATGCGTTGACCGTCTTCATGTCTTGCTTTATTCGATCCATCCATCGCTTCTTCGGACGTCCGCGTGGACGGCGGCCCTCTGGCTCAATACGCACGGCAGTCTTGGCCACTGATGACTCTTCACTTCGCATCACATGGCCGTTCCACCGAAGCCTTGCCTCAAGCATCTTGTCCGCAATGGGGGCCACACCAAGTCGCTTCCGAACGTCTTCGTTCCTGACACGATCCCATCGAGTGAGCCCGAGGCTCCATCTGAGCATCCTCATCTCCATGGTGTGGAGAGCTTGTTCGTGTACAGTTGTGGCTGGCCAGCACTCGGATCCATAGAGTGCCACCGGTCGGACGATAGTCTTGTATATTTTTCCCTTCAGCCTATCCGGCATTTTCCGATCACAGAGGACTCCGGTGACTTGCCTCCATTTCATCCACGCCGCATTGACTCGTGACCTCACATCAGTCGTGATGCTACCATCTGAGCTGATGGTGGAGCCCAGGTACTTAAAGTCCGTCACTTTCTTCAGATCTTCTCCGTCAATGCTGATGGTGCCGTCGGTTTGGGGGCCACACTCCATATACTCCGTCTTTTTGATGTTGAACCTCATCCCGTTTCCGTCCAAACGTTCCTTCCACAGGCGCGTTTGTCCTTCCACTTCTCCTCTCTCTTCATCTGAGAGGAGGACGTCATCCGCGTAGAGAATTGACCATGGAAGGGGCGTGTGCAGGTCGGCAGTGATCGTGTCGGCTTTCGCGACCAATGTCATCCATAATAGAGGTTTTTGGGTTAGATCGCGTAAATATATAACTGTGTCGTTAAAACCCGCCACCACCCGACACAGCCAACTAGTAAGGGTTGTCATGTAAACAGAACATGCTAGTGACGAATTGGCATGTTCTGTTTACGTGACAACCCTTACTAGTTGGCTGTGTCGGGTGGTGGCGGGTTTTAACGACACATTGATATATTTACGCGCTCTAACCCAAACATCTCTATGATGGAATAATCTACGATGGCCAATGCACATTGACCATGGTCAATAATAACAGCGGAGTTGCAGCCATGGGAAGGAATGAGCGTGGAAGTACGTTCACCCTGGAGATGGAGTGATGACAGCAGCTCGTGTGCAGGTGCGAGGTGGATTAATACATCGCATCGTCGTGAATTGCTGCTTGCAGAAACCTTTATCCAGCAGTATATTTATCATAGCTGATGAATACATTAATATGAGGGTATTGATATATGAATGTTTCTCGATGAGAGCCTTTTGAAATACACATCTCTATCTTCAATGGAGACGTGCGAAATAAATAAATAAAGGTATGATCCTAACCATTCACAGTAATTAAAACATCGAAGCAATAGATATAACAACACAACTCTGAAACAGTCCGTTTACACAAGTGATTTATAAATGCACTAAACACTCTAAATTGTTTTGTGACAACATTATTCATGGAAATCTTCAGGAAGAGGCAACTCGTGTAAATGTTAAACCACACGCAACGCCGCTCGCGTGCAAGGGGAGGCCGTTGTGAGCCGCCTCTAAACCGTCATCCGGCGGGGTGTTTGACAAACTGACCCAGCTCACTCATCTGAGTCTGCGAGACAACCAGCTGAAGAGCATTCCCAAGGGACGTTTGCTGGGCGCGTGCATCTCTGGAGCTGGCTAGTCGATGTCTGCAGCAAATGTGTTGGACAGACAGTACACACACCGGTGAGCGTGAGCACGGGTGTGTTGGCAGAGCGGAGGATCTAGGGAAAGGGTCACAGAGGACCCCATGTGGAGGCCCCTGGAACCTGCTAGCGGGTTCGAGAAGGGAGGCGCGGTCAGGGCGGAGCCAGGCCGCGCTGGTAGCATAAAAGGAGCCGAGAGCGGGGGCTCGAGGCTGTCGGTTCTGTGAATGGATTCGCCTCGTTGCTGTCGTCTCGTCGCCGTCGTCGCAAAACGTATCCACCAGACATTACTCTCTGTGTTGTATTACATCACATTTCGATATTTTGCGAGGTTATTTAATTTTAGTGTGACTTTCTCCTAATTTACAAGCTTGCGTGCCGTGCCACGTCGTCATCTTACTAGAGTAGCAGCAGCACTTTGCCACTCATTGATATGCTAATTTTCTCTGCCCCCTCCCTCTCTCCGTCCCTGCCCCCCTCTCTATATTTAAGGGACCGTCACAGAAACGACCCCTCTCTTTGTGCCGATATGTGTCCTCTCTCTGTGTGTCCGTGTGATGTCTGTCTGCTTGTATGTCTGTCTATAGTTTTCTAGTTAGATTTTTTTTTTGTTGCTATTTCTTTTTTTGCCTGATGATGATTGCTTGTGTTGCAATCGAAACGTCGTAATATGCTTTTATTTTAATTTATTATTTTATCTTTAGACGTGACTTAACCGAAAGAACCAAAGAATAAAAGGATAGTAGTTGGCTATTTCAGTCAGGGCCGTCAGTGTTAGACGGCTTGTGTTCCTGAGGGACACTTTCGCCTACTTCAGCATTTTTTCTTGCTCTGGTTGTTCCACCTGATGAAGATTGCTTGTGTTGCAATCGAAACGTCGTGATTCGTTTTATTTTATTTCGACCTACATGACTTTACCGAAAAAAACAAAGAGTATTATGGGTCCCTGAGGGACTTCATATCGACGCGATAACGCCTCACTGTAAACAATTGCACGGTGATTCAAACATAGACAACTTCTATGTTACATGTAATGCGTTTGTGATATCACGGTAGAATAAACGTAACGTAGAGATTATTCCTGACATCATTGAGTGCCACGCCTTCTCGAAACGTGCGGTCGAATTTATCTGCTTTCTTCCCACGTGACCAGCTAGCTAATGGTCGCAGCCTGGTCCGCAATGACTGCAAACACGAGGATCAAATCACATTTGTGTCATTTTTTTAACTTAATTTCAGTAAAACGCTGATCTTTTTAATATTCACGTAATCCAGGCGTGCGATGAGTGCTCTCTGCAGGGCGTTTATGAAAGTAGAATAGAATGCCGTCGTGGCTGCCTCTAAACATTCGCCCTTACCGCGCAGGTCGTGCCCTGGGGCAGATGCGGACTGCCACGGGAGAAGCCTCGCGTCTGTGCCTACGGGAATCCCCAGCACCACGCGAATGCTGCGTTTGTACAACAATCAGATCACGAAGCTCGAGCCAGGGGTGCTTGACAGTCTAACGCAGCTCACTAATATGGATCTTGGTAGCAATCGGCTGCAGGCTCTTCCCGAGGGGGTGTTTGACCGCCTGGTGAATCTGCAGTGGTTGGCACTGGACCACAATCAGCTGAAGAGCGTTCCCAGGGGCGCGACTCGCGGTGGAGCTGCAGCCACGCCCCTGAGAGTCTCACCGGTGGTGATAATGTACCCATTATGAACATTCGAAAATTATCAGCGTAAAAATACGAACAGAAATACACAATAGTAAACAACAACAAACACGAACTTCTAAACAATTATAACACTTCATGTGCAATAATGGATATTTGTATAAAAATTAAAAACGTTCCATTAATGACAGTCTCAAGAATAACGTGTCAAGGTTAATGGATTTCCTTTAACGCCAATCCTTAAATAACAATGGTGCTTCTTACATAACTGATGTCAGCAATGATGTCAGTAAATACTGCATTTTAACTGCTTCACAGATATTCTACACAATGCATTGAATATCGTCTCAATAGATCAGCTATAGTGTCCAGCAGTGGATTAATATCCACGCTGGTGATGTTGAATTTACATCTAAATATCGAGATAGATACCCCATTGCTACATTTAACCAGGCGAGAGACTTTTGAAATACACTATTTTCAGTGGAGTCCTTGAAAAAAAAATTTATCTTCACTATTCACGAAAAAAAATACATTAACACAACACGACCCCAATTCCACATCAAAATGTTTTTGATGACCAAAAATACGTAACACATACACGCTAAGCACTCTAAAATATGTAACAAGAACATTTTACGGAGCGCATCAGTAAGAGGCGATTCGTCTCAATATTGGACCACACGCGACGCCGCTCGCGTGCAAGGGGAGGCCGTTGTGAGCCGCCTCTAAACCGTCGCCCGTCCCTCGCAGTGTTCGTGCTCAGGGGCACAAGTGCTCTGTCAAGTGATAGGCCTCGCGTCTGTGCCTGCGGGAATCCCCACCACCAGTGGCGGCTCCTGCAAAATCTCTCAGGGGGGGCAAATGTCTGGATGATTGATAAGGATAAGGTCCACCCATGCAATGGATAAATTAACAGCTTAAGCATGTAAAGGCAACTTCACTTCTTTAATATTAATGAAAAATAAAGTGACTCTTACAATACATCTTGTTTGTTTCTATACTCACTATTAATACAATCCACTCAAGTTTATTTTATTAAATATTCCACTCGGTGGCGACAAATTATATTGTTGGATGAAACGTGCTTACGTATAATAATAATAGTACAATTTGTAACGCGCGCAAATTTGCAGACGTAGTGGCCGCAACTCAGAGGCGCGGAGCCAAGCTCAGAGTCGCTCAAAAGCATGATTGTAGAGGTGAGGTATTGTTGGATGAAACGTGCTTACGTATGATGACGTAAGCACGTATGATGACGTAAGCACGTATGATGACGTAAGCACGTTAGGGCGAGCCCTCCCGGAAGCCATAGAGAATGCATTGGAGCGCCCCCGTTCGAAAAAAAAACATCTTTGAATGTAAGTCTATGGGACCACTCGGGGCGATTCTCAGCCAGAGTGAAATAGCCCAAAAAGAGGCGGTACTCCACAGAACGTAGCATGACGCTGATTGGACTATATCCAGAGGCACAGTGACGGCTAGCGTGACTCTGTGGTTGAATGACATTGGTGGTGCGTCGCCCAATCGCCCTAATGAAGAAACCGCCCCTGCCCACCACCACGCAAAGGATGGATTTGGACGTCAATCAGATCACGAAGATCGAGCCCAGGGTGTTTGAGAGTCTGGCGGCACTGGTGGAGACACGAGACTATGAGACCCCTGCCATTGGCACTGCGATCGTGAATCATGATATTGAATACCTCACATACACCGGCATAATGGAAAACCAAATACAATAACAGTGTTCTAACGGGCTTCGTTTAATGAAAGAGTGGTGGCTTTATAAAATAAACATTTCTTAAGAGAGAATAGAAGTCGCTTTAGCTGAAATATCTATATAATTGTGCATCAAGGTCACTTCAACGAAGTTCTCAATGAATGTGAATGCTTATTTATCCTTTTTTATAAAATAGTTCGGAAAGTGAATGGAATTCGTGTAACTTAAGATTGATATGACATTGAGTGGAGATCCTGTTAACTAACACATATGTATGGAAGTGACATAAGTGCTATTAAGTTCATGCTTATGAAAGCGATTGTATTTTATTAAAAGAAACACATCTCTATGAAAGGGATTGAAGTCGGTTTTCACTGTGATGTGAATAGATATGCATTTCACTAACTTAACTCCATGCACGTGATTGGTGTCCGCTTGGCGCTCTCATTAATCTCTATGGAATTGAACGCAGGCCACTTTAACTAACTGATGCCATTGTAATGAATAGAAGTCACATGACGACGTTGAACAATTTCTCTTGTAGCTCCGTTTTCTTGCACACGACGTTGACCAATTTCTCTTGTAGCCCCGCCCACCACCCCCACGTTCCATTGCCTGGTTACCACATTCAGATAAGCCCCTCCCCCTTTAACTTGTATTTAAGGGCTGGTCTTTTGGAATTTTCCTCACTTGATGCAGTAATTTTAGCTGTGACGGTCCCACCTGATGATGGATACTTGTGTTGCCTCCGAAACGTCGTGATTTATTATTTTATTTCCATTATTACTTTTATTAACTTTTAATTTTATTTTTTACCTACGTGACTTTACCGAAAAAAAACCTAACAGTATGAATAGAGGTCACTTTGATGAGGCAATCTCTAGCATCACCATAAGCCATGAGTACCCTCTGCGGTGAGTCACATCCTGACCCAGCAGACTTTGGTGGATCTTAATGGCAACCGGCTGCAGCATCTTCCCGAGGAGGTGTTTGACCACCTGGTGAATCTGCGGCAGCTGTTGTCGAACAGCAACCAGCTGACCCCTCTCCCCACTGGGGTCTTTGACAAACTCAAGCGGCTCATTTACCTGACTCTGAGCACAAACCAGCTTAAGAGCGTTCCCAAGCACGACTGGTGGTGGAGCTGAAAACTGAATGAATTAGCAAATTGCTAACAATTAATTTTCATGTTTACAAATTTCATTAATTGTGTTGGACATATTGCACTCACACGTACACAAAGGTCCATTTTATGATTTGATACTAAACCATGTGTTCTTGCTTAACAGGGAAATATCTTGCGTTGTGCACCCTTTGTTTGTCCCCGACGTCTCCCTTGTCAAAGAGACTTCCGTCTCAGCGTGGGATGTCGTCTGGTCAGACAAGAGTTCAGGGACGTGCTCTATTTACATCGGGGCCAGAGCCCATTGAGACGAAGGTTTTCTGGTACGGGAGACGTGAGACGAGACTATTAAACATCTCTCAACATGTCTCTGGGTGGAGATAGACTAAAGACAGAGTCATGCACCCAGCAGTGAGAATAGCGGAGGAGTGGCCGCCAAGGGAGGCACATCGCCCACATGAGCAGTGGCATGAGCACGCAAGCAACTGCACGGCTGCACCTTTACCTCTTCACTGAGATACGAGGGAAAACATTACAATGCGGTGAATTAGGCCACGAATGCAGAATGTAGCGTTTGGGAACAGGTGACCGATTTTGGAAACGGTTACTGGATAAGAGGTCGTCGTCTAATAACACTAATAACTAGCCTCCTTGAATAATTTTGACTGCCTGGGAGCTGGGCTCTGGTTTGTGCTGTAATAAGCTCACAGAGCTGCCCAGTAGCGCGTTTGCCAAACTCACCCGGCTGAAGCATTTGGGTCTGGACGGAAATCAACTGAAGAGCATCCCCGCTGGGGTGTTTGACCGCCTGGGGAACCTGCAGTGGCTGAGTCTGCACACCAACCAGCTGAAGAGCGTTTCCAGCGGCGCGTTTGACAAAGGGAGCCAGCACTTCCAGGAACGGTCTCTGCTTTGTCGCTTGGCATCGGGATAGAGACGATGCTCGGCACGAGTCGCGCTCAGTTTGTAAAGCTACCTCGTTATTGACATCCACAGTCATCGTCACCATCAACATCGTCACGGTGTCGTCTTGTGCTACAAGTTAGTCTACAGTGTCACTGAGCGGTGAGGGGAGCTTCTGCCTTCGTTAATTCGTGAAAATGAAATACGCAACCGACGCAGTAAAATATACATTAAGAGTGCTTATACGTGCGTTCATGTATACATTGTGTGTGTATCAGGGGTCGGAGACCTGCATATCCAGAGCCGAATGCGGCTCTTTGGTTCCCCCCTTGCGGGCAGCTGTATTTTTTAAATTAAATCTTAAACGTAATTTTACGTAAAGATGACTAAATATGGCAGTGGATTGGTTCACTATGGAATGTCTGAGTGACAACAAAATGTACAACAGCCAAACTGTATTGTTAAAGAATCACTAAGGGGAGAAAAACGAAATGGACGCAGTTGATTTCATCACCTGTGTTGTTCATTCAAGTCAGAATGTTTGTTGTTGTTGTTATCTGCATATACCCGCTGCTGTTTTTGTGCACAAGTAGCTCTGCGTGCGATGGACAACGATAGGATGCGACGGAATAGTCCATCCAGCAGACTGAGTCTTGAACATGGGCGGAGGACCCAGTGAGTGGAGTTCTTAAAAATTGTATGTATGTGTAACTTTTTTTGCACCGTATGTAACCAACCGTGCGAATCGGAGGTGCGGGGAAGGACAACAAACTTTACATCAAAAGCAGTTTTAAAGAAACCAGTGTTCAATTTAGATGCAAAAGTGCATGGCTACAGATTTTTCCAAATTTCAGAAGCGCATTCCTGACAGCCGTAGAAGCACAGTAATGCTGGTAGTTGCGACAGAAGAGTGATAAGGAAGTGACTGGATGCAGGTGAGGGAGTGACTGGATCAGTGAGTGTTGCGTTATCTGTCAACCTGACTGCTTTACGTTGCATTCTATCGATAGGTAGGCAATGGGTGCTCGGATGCGTGCTGTGCATAGCAGTAGAAGTGGCTGTTCAGAGTTAAAGAAGCCTTTGGTGTGAAGAAGGAAACCAGGTATTCTCGCTGGCTCTGTAGGCAGATGACTGACGTGACTGCACCTGTGATACAAATGGACTAAGGGGCCTTGCCGACATGAACATTAAGAGTCATTCGCCAACAACACCACCAGCGCCACGTGAATCCTTTTCTTAGCCTTTCTTTGGTTCACACGACCAGGTACATAATGCACATGGACAGTGCGGTGACAACGCGCACCATCCACTTGCCGTCTCAGTAAATTACTCTCTCCATGAGCTGACAGTCAGAACCAAGCTAACAACATGGGAGATGGCCATGTGGTGGCAGTACAACCAAAGGGCTTGTGAACCTGTCTGTGCGGCATGGTGAGTGTCATTCCCTGCATGGTATACGTGGTGGGTTATCGCCAGGGTTTCCGGTTTCCTCCAATGAGTAAAATCCGCATTCAAAATGGAGTTGCCACACGTCCCAATGTGGGACCCTCCTTAGCACAGTCCTGAGACTGTTATTCACATTGACCTGGCGATTCTGAAGTATCCTGCTACTTATCACTCTAGCTGGTCTATTCTTTGAATATCAACTGGCAAGAACGGTTCTCACTCAGCTGCTTCCCCTGCAAATACCGCTTCTGCAAATGCACGAGGCGCCCAAAACACCCCAGCGGGAACGGTCGTCAGCTGGCTTTTGTACAGGTCCAGATGCGTCAGCTTCCCCAGTTTGTCAAAGATCCCAGGCAGCAGGGACTTCAGTTGGTTATTGTCCAGCTCCAGAATCGTCAGTTGAGTCAATCGGTCAAACAGAGTGGGCGGTATTTCCTGCAGTTTGTTATAGTCCAGTCGCAGAATCTTCAGATTTACCAGGCGGTCAAACAGCCCAGCGGGTAGAGCCTGCAGCTGGTTATTTTGGAAATAAAGCTCCATGAGATTCACCAGGCTGTCAAACATTCTCTCATCCAAGCATGCACCCGTGATCGCCAACAGTCATGCAACATACTGATGAGACTCAATCAAGTGAAAACTGGTTTAATGTTTTCCACATATAAATAAATGTTAATAGTTCTGTATCCATTCCTAATTAATACGACACTTTAACATATTAAATTAACACTTGCGTACAATTAGCTACATTTGAAATTATAGTTAATGCTCATTTTAGTTTATTATATTACTAATAATACGGGTATTCGTGTGTCTGTCTGTAAAGCACCGGGACTTACAGAAAAATAAGAGAAACAAGTCTGGACGGGATGTTTCCTGTTCTTTCCGACAAACAGAACGAAAGTTCGCGCGTCCATTCAGCCCAGTCGCAGTCGCAGTGTGTAGAGCGTGCAGCCTCCTCGGCGTATTTCCTGGAGTTTCGTTTCATTCTCCTCTTGTTTGCGTGTCCGTCTCTCTAACGCTCTTTCCCAGTGTTTACTGTAAAATAATTTTGTACATTGTTTAGTGTTGTTCTTGCTTATACTTTTATCGACAAAATATATTGTAATAGACATGCAATCGTTAATAATAGTTATTTATTTTCGATGTCATCCAATTCATAACCGATTGCACTAACCACTGCAGCACCACTTCCGCCCACCACAGTGCGTAACATTCACCAGCAAATCACGATTCTTAGCTCTACATTACCCAGTATCATTCGCGAACAACGCGCAGCCGTGTTTAAAACAGATAAATTAGAAAAAAAACAGGTTAAACAGCTGTGATTCACCTGCGAAGATGAGCAAGAGAAACTTCAACAACTTGGCTTGGAGAATCAGCAGGTGATTTTTATTTATTTATAATGTATGTATGTTAAACTTCTGGCGCACCGTACGTAGTCAACCGTGCTAATAGGAGGTGCGCGTCGTTGCTCGACTCTGTCCATGACATTTCATTTTCACGCGCTCCACGTGACCACACATTTTCAGGCAGGTGGGGAGGCAGGCAGGGAGTTGAGGCGCCAACCCGCAGCCTCGAAACACGACACACTCACTACTCCTCTTCGATCTCCATGTATAACTGTCCAGATATATGCGTAGGTAGGTAGGCAGACAAGTAAACGGGCAGGTACATAGCCATGTGGGTAGGTCGATAAGAAGACAAATAAACTACATGGGTGTGTGGATAGATGTGTATTTTAAACAGATTTACAGGCGGGCAGGCACATAAATGTCTGAATGGTTACAATTCTCACGACGTTTCGGCCACAATGCAAGCAGCCGTCCTCAGGTGAAGAACAGGTCTGTCGGAAAGACAGCGTCTGAATGAACACCACCAAGCTTGGCAGCGTATATTTAAGCTGGGTTAGGGGAGGAAGGGCGCCTTGACAAAGGAATTTGCATATCAACAGAGGAATTTAGCATATTTATGGGAAATGCAGATATGGGATTAGTAACTACTTGTGGAATGTGTAGGAGGTGGGGGGTGGTCTCAAAGTCATATTATGCTCGTGTATTATGTAGGATTAGCAGTAATAAAGGGAGGAAGTAGGGTTAGCAGTAATAAAGGGAAGGAATATTAATAGTAAGGAGCTGCAGCAGCCAAACCACCACGTAAAAAACTAAAATATAAACTACATCAATATCATCAATATACTCTCCAACAAGCTGAGCTACTAACAGTAAGTCATATATTACAATTCCATGTCGCAAAAAATATAATATGCCTCCAGCTAAACTTTTTCCTTACATCACACGGATCTACCCCGTACTATATACTGCCATAGACAAACCCAACATTAAATTATATACTGCATTACTATACACCACCCTATACCTTAAACTATACATTGTAATATTACACTATTTTATTCTACCTACCCTACTGTATACCACACTGCTGTATATTCACTATACAATTACCATACTATTGATTACCTTATACATTATATTAAACATTACACTTTTATACTATTTATTATTATACAATCTGCTATACACTACACCATTGACCGTCGCGTGAAAGGTACTAAGAGGAAGCAACGAAATATGTCAATGGAAGAGTGATGACTTGCAGCGGAGCAAAGAATCCATTCCCTGCGGAGAATAAAAGATATATAGTCAATGCCAGTGAGTGGCCTGCGGTCTGAAAGGCACCATAAACGTGAACACAATCAGTAAAGGTGCGAAATGGTTTATTACGTCCTTCCAATGATTGCTGAGCCAGAATCCATCTTCTCGGTTGAAATTGTCTCTGTGTTTGTATATGTGGATCGCCTCATGAACGAATCTCTCATGGTAGCCAGATGGCTTGCAGAGAACCTCTGTCTTGGAGAAGTCAATGTCATGTGAGCCCATTGAATTGTAACAGTGATCTGCCACGGCTGAGGTGTTTGTCCTACCGTGTTTCAGGTCTGCTTTATGCGGTCCGAGACGTCGTTTGGTTTCTCCGATGTAACTGCTACCAGACCGCATCAGACAGAGGTTATCTGCAATCCATCTGGCTACCATGAGAGATTCGTTCCGTTTAGATTGTCAGAATTATTCTTTTTAAAGGCACAATGGTTCACGTTAACGATGTCCAAAAAACAATGTAACGTCATATTTTGGGTAAATATGATATCCTGGTGATTATACGCATTGATTCATTACCACAGTGGCAATAGCAGGAGCCTTGGTGTATCGTGTCTTCACCCAGTGCCGTCAGGCGGTCAAACACCCCGGGCTCGGGCTTCGTGATCTGATTGAAGCGCAAAAACAGAGTCTGCGTGGTGGTGGGGATTCCCGCAGGCACAGACGCGAGGCTTCTGCGATCACAGTTCACTTGTGTCCCTGAGCACGAACACTGCGAGGGACGGGCGGCTTGCACGGGAGCGGCGTCGCGTGTGGTCCAACATTTACACAAGATTTCCGCCCAAAGTTTTAACCAAATATTTTTCAGAGTGCATCGTTTCAACACATTTACGCTGTTCATACTGATCGTTTGAATTTACTTCATATTTGCATCTTTAGTCCATTTATTTGTTAATCTACTGAATAAATAATGAATGTATTTACCAGGTCCCCCTTGAGAATTGAGATATATCTTCTTGGTTCTTTCGGTAAAGTCACTTTACCGAAAGAACCAAGAAGATGAATCCCTGCAGTCACGAAAGCTTTAAATCGAAAAATTGAGATATACACTACAATAGTCTCTCATCTATATCACAGAGGATGCACTGTCTGCACGCGGGGCACGCAGTGTCTCCACACGTATTTGTAGTAACATTCAAACAAGTGCAGCGCTATGTTAATTGTAGATGACAGCCGCAAGGCAGATATGAGTATTGATATCATTGGTCTTGAATATCTGAAGCAGGAACGCGCCTCCCCTCGCTCGACTCAGCCTCAAGTGAGTACCTGCCACGGTGTGTAAGCGTCAGCACTGGGGAGACAACACGTGAAAGATAGAGGGACTGTGTTTTAAGCGAGAAGGAATGTGACGATCCTGTCTGCATCAACACCATCACTGATTTGACCGATCCTAAGCCGCACCGATGTCCGTCCTATCTCATCCCTACCTGCTTGATTTAAAGCTTTGCTCAGTGAGCGCAGATACGAGCACACGTGAAGCTGGGCACGCGTGACTTGCATTGCGGTGTTAACAGAACGCAGTAGCAAAGCAATCGCGCATTAACGCGGGGCAGCTGAAGAGCATTCCCAAGGGCGCCTTTGACAACCTCAAGAGCCTCACTCACATCTGGCTGTACAACAACCCCTGGGAATGTGCCCTGCGTGGAGCTCTCAGCCTTCTCTCTCTCAGCCTCTGCCTCCACGTGATGATCAATGATAAGGTGGCCTACACGGTAATTTAAATACGACCATATCTGGAAAGTTGTTGTTTTTATTGTAAATGTGAGAGAGTTGGTACCCTGCCTCTTACTCGGGTGGTTTCAGGTAAATTACGTTCAATATTAACTACCACTTCACCTCTAGTATGTTTGTTTCACTTTAAGACAGCGGTATAGATGTTGTTTGTGAATGTCCAGTCAAGTTCTAGCTCTGTTTATTTCATTTCATTTCTCTCTTAGTCTTTTCAATTAAAGCTTGATAATTCATCCACTCTGAGTGGTGACAACCAGCTTGGTGACGTGGTGGTGACTTCATCGCAGTGGATGGACAACGAGCTTTAAATTTTAATTTCCTAATGCCTTAAACAAGCTTGATGTGTAAGTAAAATGTACCCAGTGTTCCGTGTAGTTGTATTTACATTTACTCCGCTCGAGTCTTATTAACACAGCAGAGAGCAAGTGTTTCAGGTTACTGCGCAGTGATGAACTCGCGTCTCTCTCTGCTGGTCTGTTTGACGGCCAGAGTAATCTGCAGCAGCTGTATCTGAGGGCGAACCAGCTGACGGCTTTACCCGTTAGGGCAGGGGTCCTCAAACTACGGCCCGCGGGCCACATGCAGCCCGCCGAGGACATTTATCCGGCCCGCCGGGTGTTTTTGCCGCCGCTGCCTGTCTGTTACTTTTTTTCTACATGAGAACGACGGTCATTGGTGGAAGAGAGAGAGGGGGCGGAGTTCCCCCCAATCAGACTGCATTGATGGGCAGTGCAGTCTGTATGTCTCTGTGTGGGCAAAGTTATTGCTGGTATATTGTTTTTGTAGCGCTGTATATATATTGGTATTTTACTAATAGCAATTTTGACTCCCTAAGAAACAATGATGTCAAGAAAGAGAAAAATTGACTCGGAGTGTAGGATATTCAAAGAACAGTGGACTTATGATTACTTTTTCATGCAGTACAAGGAAAGAGATGTGTCTGATATGCCAGAATATAGTGTCTGTGTTCAAAGAATACAATTTACGTCGACACTATGAAACTCAACATAAAGATAAATATGCTTGTTTGGTCGGAGAAGTGAGAAAAGATAAACTATTAAAACTGAAAAATACATTAACAACTCAGCAAAATACTTTTGTGAAGCAGAAGCAGCTACATATTTCATCACTGCGAGCAAGTTTTCAAGTTGCCAAGCTAATAGCGTGCACTGGCAGACCATTCGTGGAGGGAGAATTTGTTAAAGAATGCCTTCTTTCTGTTGCCAAAGAGATGTGTCCAGAGAAGGCCGATTTATTTAGTACAGTGAGTCTTTTAGGACCTACAATTACACGGAGGATTGAAGACATGGGAGACAATTTGCATCAGCATTTGCAAAACTCCACAAAAAAACTTTCCTATTTTTCCTTGGCACTCGACGAAAGCAATGATGTTCGTGATTCTGCACAACTTCAAATTTTTATTCGTGGGACGAATGACTATTTCGAAGTCACAGAAGAGCTTGCTGCACTGCAAAGCATCAAAGGAACAACTACAGGAGAGGATATCTTTCGATTTAAAGCTTTCGTGACTGCAGGGATTCATCTTCTTGGTTCTTTCGGTAAAGTCACATAGAAGGGAAGTAATAAAATAATTCTCACGACGTTTCGGCCACAACGCAAGCAGCCGTCCTCAGGTGAAAACCAGGTCTGTTGGGGAGACAGCGTCTGAATGAAACAGCACACGAGCTTGGAGCATATATAAGCTGGGTTGGAAGCGGGGGAAAGAGCGCCTTGACAAAAGAATTTGCATATCAAGAGGAATTTAGCATATTTATGGGAAATGCAGGAATGTGATTAGTACTACATATGCCCGTGCTGCATATGTAGTACTAATAACATTCCTGCATTTCCCATAAATATGCTAAATTCCTCTTGACATGCATCTCTCCCCTCTGAGACATATCCTCATCTCAGGAAACATGCACTCAAAATGGCAACCATCTTTGGCAGCACTTATGTCTGTGAACAGACTTTTTCCAGAATGAAACATTTGAAATCTCCAACCAGATCTAGACTAATGGATGCACACTTGCATCACTTGTTACGACTAGAAGTGACAAATATGGAACTGGACATTGACCATCTCATTAGCCAAAAGCAGGCCCATAGTTCCCATTGAAATACTGGCAAGTTTGTTGATTTAACTTTACTTGTTCTTCATTTTAAATATTGTATTTGTTCCCGTTTTGTTTCTTCACTTCAAAATAAGATATATGCAGTGTGCATAGGAATTTGTTCATAGTTTTTTTTAACTATAGTCCGGCCCTCCAACGGTCTGAGGGACAGTGAACTGGCCCCCTGTTTGAAAAGTTTGAGGACCCCTGCGTTAGGGTGTTTGAGAAATTGACCCAGCTCACTTACCTGACTCAATCAACTGAAGGCCTTGAACATCATCCCTGTTGTACCTGCACTACGCCGATAAAGTGACTGCACTCTACACATGTTTTAATTAATTAATCGTATTTTTCTCAAACAATATGGAACCCTTTCACCTTTTTTATCTTTCATATTGCACTTGAGATTGATTGTCATCGCAAAACGCTCTTTCTAATGTCGGTTATCTTGCCTGGTAAACCGGAGGCGTAAAGAACAAACTCCCCGTGAACACGGTCGAAAGCCTTTTTTCCCAAAAATATTTAAATGAACAAACGATCCAGGTACACACAGAGGGCATGTATGGAAATTGACACTAGTATAGACACAATGTCTATGCCATGTGTTTTAAAAAACTCTATACATCCCTGGTGTCTACTTCCTGAACTTGGATACCCCTCTCGGGGTGGGGTGGGAGGAGAAATCAAAGGGTTGGGGGGAGGGTGCTTTTATCAATATTTGTGTTTCATGCACGGTGACTTTTTATGGTCGGGTAAAATCAATTAATATTTTTATCACTTCATAATTTTATATTTCTGATCCATAGGTCATGGCGAGCAGTATCTGCGGATTGAAATTTGTTATCGGGGAAAAATGGAACGCTAAGATTGAGTCCTAATATTTTTCCATCGCACTTCAAAGTAATAGAATTCACCTGGACATGTTACATTTCGATCACGATCTGATCTGATGCGGTTTCAAGTTGCATCCCTCCAACAATTATTTTATTTTACACACTTGTTGTACAGAACGTTGGTGTTTCGTTTACTATATGTGTGCATATATGAACATTTTGCTTGGTTAAGGATCATTTCATTACCTACAATGACGTAGTTTACATTGACATTCTTAAGGCTATTCATTATATAATTTAAGTTGTAGCAATGTATTATTTGCTGGATAATTGTTTACGTATTCGAGGTTTTAGCAACACCTATAAGTAGACTAAAACAATGCTTTTGTAAATCTTAACTTCACAGTACAACGGAACATTCCAATGTGCCCACAACGAGAGATGTTGATCCGCGTGAAACACCTCCTATAGTAGATGGTTCAGAAGTACAACAGAAGCACTGCGAATAACAAGCTTGGAATAACATTGAGAGATAGACGAACGCGTGGATCAGGTAATAAACTCGTACAAATTACATCAAACATCAAACAGTTAATAAAGTAAGCTGGCATGGCCATGTTACGGCACGAGAAGGAATGATGGAATAATCTACTCTAACACATCGGCTTTCGCGACCAATATAATCCATAATAGAGGTTTTTGGGTTAGATCGTGTAAATATATAAATGTGTCGTTAAAACCCACCACCACCCGACACAGCCAACTAGTAAGGGTTGTCACGTAAACAGAACATGCGAGTGACGAATTGGCATGTTTTGTTTACGTGACAACCCTTACTAGTTGTCTGTGTCGGGTGGTGGTGGTGGGTTTTAACGACACATTGATATATTTACGCGCTCTAACCCAAAAACCTCCATTATGGAATAATCTACGATGGCCAATGCACATTGACCATGGTCGATAACAATAGCAGAGTGGTAGCCAATGGAGGGAACGCGCCTGGAAGGACGTCCACCCTGGAGATGAAGTAATGACACCAGCTCGTGTGCAGGTGTGAGTTGGATTCATACATCGCATCGTCGTGAATTACTGCTTGCAGGAACCTTCATCCAGCAATAGATTTATCATAGCTGACGAATACATTAATTTCAGGGTATTGATATGTGAATGTTTCTCGATGAGAGCCTTTTGAAATAGACATCTCTATATTCAATGAAAACGTGCGAAATAAATTAATAAAGGTATGATCCTAACCATTCACAGTAATTAAAACATAAAATCAACAGATATAACAACACAACTCTGAAACAGTCAGTTTACACAAGTGATTTGTAAATGCACTAAACACTCCAAATTATTTCGTGACAACATTTTTCATGGAAATCTTCAGGAAGAGCTAACTTGTGTAAATGTTAAACCACACGCAACGCCGCTGCGTGCAAGGGGAGGCCGTTGTGAGCCGCCTCTAAACCGTCATCCGCCGGGGTGTTTGACAAACTGACCCAGCTCACTTATCTGAATCTGCAAGACAACCAGCTGAAGAGCATTCCCAAGGGACGTTTGCTGGGCGCGTGCAACTCTGGAGCTGGCTAGTCGATGGCAGCAGCAAATGTGGTGGACAGACAGTACACACACCGGTGAGCGTGAGCACGGGTGTGTTGGCAGAGCCAAGGAACTAGGGAAAGGGTCACAGGACCCCATCTGGAGGTCCTTGGAACCTGCTTGCGGGTTCGAGATGGGAGGCGCGGTCAGGGCGGAGCCAGGCCGTGCTGGTAGCATAAAAGGAGCCGAGAGCGGGAGCTCGAGGCTGTCGGTTCTGTGAATGGATTCGCCTCGTCGTTGCTGTCGTCTCGTCGCCGTCGTCGCAAAACGTATCCGTCAGACATTGCTCTGCAGGATAGTAGTTGGCTATTTCAGTCAGGGCCGTCAGTGTTAGACGGCTAGTGTTGTGTACAGGCTAGGCTAAGCTACTGTGGAGAGTGTGCGGACGAGACCGTGAAAGTAGTTAATGAAGAAAGTGCCTCCTAGAAACTCTGTCTCTGAATCGTTGACACTACAAATGTATCGAATGATTATTTTGCCGGATGCCGAAGTATAAAATCTATAGGCATTAAATTCCAGAGATGCAGCAACACGTGTGCATTTCCCCATGTAGACGCGGTATCGATTTGCTGTGTTTCAGGGTTGGTGACTAGTCTCGTGACTTCATGATGATATTAGACAGAATATGTAGATGGCAAGTTCTAGGACCTCTGAGCTGGTGGAAACCTCCTGAGACTGCAGCACAGAGTAGAGTGCAATTTGTAAAGAGTCTGTGTGTGAGGACACTGACGGGCTTAGACGAAAGTCGGTTTAACCAATGGACCCATGATCAACAACAAACTGACCCGGCTGTGTAAATTCACCACTTCACCTTCGCTAAAGAATGACGTCCCAGCCCCCTTTGAGCGTGCATCGTGCACACGGACTGCAGGTGCTCGTGGGTAAAACCTGGACATGTGCAACGGTCTCCAGCTGTTATTGCGCAGCTCCAATCGCGTAAGTTGGGTCAGTTTGAGATGGATACCAGTGGGCAGAGCCGTCGACTGGTTGGTATAACATTTTAATTTCTTTAGACTGACTTGGCCATCGAGTTTGCCCAACAACAATTTAAAAAGCGTCCCTGAGGGACACTTTCGCCTACTTCAGCATTTTTTCTTGCTCTGGTTGTTCCACCTGATGAAGATTGCTTGTGTTGCGATCGAAACGTCGTGATTCGTTTTATTTTATTTCGACCTACGTGACTTGAGGGACTTCATATCGACGCGATAACGCCTCACTGTAAACAATTGATTCAAACATAGACAACTTCAATGTTACATGTAATGCGTTTGTGATATCACGGTAGAATAAACGTAACGTAGAGATTATTCCTTACATCATTGAGTGCCACACCGTCTCGAAACGTGCGGTCGAATTTATCTGTTTTCTTCCCACGTGACCAGCCAGCTAATGGTTGCAGCCCGGTCCGCAATGACTGCAAAAACGAGGATCAAATCACATTTGTGTAATTTTTTTTACTTAATTTCAGAAAAACGCTGATCTTTTTAATATTCACATAATCCAGGCGTGCGATGAGGGCTCTCTGCAGGGCGTTAATGAAAGTAGAATAGAATGCCGTCGTGGCTACCTCTAAACCTTCGCCCTTACCGCGCAGTTCGTGCCCGGGGGCAGATGCGGACTGCCACGGGAGAAGCCTCGCGTCTGTGCCTACGGGAATCCCCAGCACCACGCGAGCGCTGCGTTTGTACAACTGTAAAAACAGCTATAGAGGATTCACGTGGGGATTGGCTTGCCAGTCCTGCTTTGTAGCCAATAAGGGATGAGCCAGGGAGCATGGCCCCGGCGTGATCACGGCGTGTTAGCAGGGGTGATTGGCTTGGCCAATTGGGGCCTCAGCTAATGGGAAGCCGGATCAGGGGCGTGGTCCCGGGATTGACAGGGAACCATCTGGAACGGTCAACGCTGTCTATGGAGGATTGGCTGGGGGGTACCACGTGACGGAGGGATAAAAGGAGAGAGAGAGGGGGCAGTCATGAGCAGACTGGGAACCGAGCAGAGCGGGAGTCACGCGCGTACGGGGCTCCGGGTGCCACGTGCGCGGTGGGGACTTAGCGAGAAGTCTGCCCTCTCTCCGTTGTCAGCCAGCAACGGAGAGTGTGTGTAAAGTGTAACTGTGGAAGTTGACAATAAAGGACTGATTCCGGAAGCCGTCTCAAGAAGGTTTATTACATTGGTATCAGAAGTTCTTCTGCGACCGTTTGGACGTTCGTCAAGATGTCCAAGCACCTCAGAAAGAAGAACCTGCCCCTGCCTCCATCGGAGGAAGAGGTTGAGACGGATGAAGATGAGCTGTTGGGGGCTACAGCCCCTATGCCGCCTGCTGATACTGCTCCCCTCGACGCCTCTCAGCGTCGACTGGGTGAAGACGCGACCACCACAGGAACAAAGGACGAATGGCGGCTGATGGCGGAACAGATCGAGTCGCTACGCGCCATTCTGCTAAGCCTGGTGACCGCGGTGGCGTCCTCACCAGCCGTGGGTCGCCAGATTGCGGATCAGCTGGACTCCGCGGGAAGGGGTCCTGAGAAAGAATCTGAGTCCGCCATTGCTCCTGCCACACGGGAAGACGCCGTCGTTTTGGGCGGGTCTGCTGCGCGGGAGCCGTCGGGCGCCATTTTGGGCGCGCCTGCCGCCACGCGGCCGCCGGACGCCATTTTGCCTACAACGGGTGGAGCGCGGGAACAGCAGTCGGAGACGCCCGCGGCGCGTGCTTGCCACCGCGGCCATCGCCTTTTACAGATCAAAGAATTTATCGCCGGGGGCGATTGGAGTGCTTTTACGTGGCGCTTCGAGTCAGCTTTTCGATCCGTCAACTGGACGGAGGAGGAAGCGCTGGGAGCGCTACCTACACTGCTTGATGATGTTTCGCTGGGGGTCTTCCGCTCCATCCCGGCGTCCAAGAAGAAGACACTGCGAGATGGGGTTTGCGGAGATGGCGGAATTTTACGACCCACCGACGTCAGCCACCAGAAAATGTATGTCGCGTCGCCGAGGATCGGAGGAGTCGCCTTTGGCTTATCGGGGGGCGTTGATGGCGCTGGCCATGGCTGCCTACCCCGACGCGACAGCCGATCATTTGGATCCTCTCATCCTTTCCCGTATGCTGGAGTTGTCTCAGGAGCTCAACATTTCTCTACCAGTGTGCGGCCACGAACCGCTTACATCGCGATGGGTGGCGCGCTGCCTGGACGCTAAGTTTAATATTAAGCGTTGGGACCAGATGGCGGCGTGGACGGGGAAACCCGAAATGACGGGCCGCCCTTGGGGTGGTCTCCGCGACTGGTGGTCCACTGCTCCGACGACTCGGGCGACGACGACATGCTGGCTGCTGCTGTTCCGCATAGGATTCCGGGACGGCGGCTGCGCAAACCAGCGTGGCGACTACACGGGCCGTCCACGCGCAAGGGCCGGGTCGTCCGACCGCTGGCCGACGTCGGCCACGTGCTTCAAGTGCGGCAGACGGGGCCATTTCGCCCGTGACTGCCGCTGCCGACCTCTGCTGTCGCCTTTTCCGCCGAGGGGACCTCCTTCTCCTCCACCTGCTGCGGAGCTGCAACAACCTCGGGCGAGTCGGCACAAATCGGACACCCGGCAGGTCTTGTCACATCACTCATCCACTCGCACTCATTCTTACGCTCCTAAGGATAATCTTACTTCTCCTGCTCCATTTACACGCTCTGCTACACAGTGGAAGAAATTGGCTCGCAGGGTTGTGGCTGCGGCGTCGGGCTCGTCGACGGTACGGGGTACCATCGACGGCGTTGACGTCCGTATCTTGGTAGACACGGGCGCGTCAGCTACCATCATTTCAGACGTTATTTTTCATTTGTTGTCCATCCCTACGTCGCAGATACGCAGGGTTAATGATGCGTGTGTCGCTGCAAATGGGGGAAGCATGGGTATCTGTGGTCAGGTAGATGTGAGCATCGCTATCGGAAATATTACCGCCGCAACCTGTGTTAATCTCTCGCTCGCTGGCTGTTCCATGCTTGCTTGGTACTGATTTCCTGCGCCGGATGCCGCTGAGAATACGGGTCGACCAGGACTGTTTGGAAATGCCGGGGGGTCGAAGGATGGCGTTCCTGCCTTCCCTGCTGGCCAATGCGCCTACAGGTAACGCGGTTACTGCCGTAGTTGCTGCTACGGTGGAGGTTCCGTCGGGAGCGCAAATGCTCATTCCGCTGCGTTACCGGAAACCCCTTCAAATGGGAAGGGATGCGAAGGGTGTGCTATTATCCCCGTCGAATTCGGTATCTAAATCTTTTTCTTTGGCGGCGGCACAAACGATCGTGCGACCGGGTCAGGCGCCTTTCATACAGGTGTTGAATGGGGGACCCGACCGCGTTGTTGTTCCGGAGGGATCGGTGCTGGCTCACGCCACATCCGATTTCGCCTCTTGTGACAAAACGCCGCGCGCCCGGATGCCCGCGGGTGTGCCTCCGCACGATCGTTCACAAGAACGCTGGATCGCGGATTTATGCGGAGAGAATTCTTCCTTGTCAAATGAACAAAGGAACGCCCTGCGTTCACTGTTGCTACGGTACGCTGATGTTTTCAGCAGAAATGATTTGGACCTCGGCCGCACGTCGCTTTTGTCACACCATATTGACACCGGTGCAGTACCTCCCATCTGTATGCACCCTCATCGCATGAGTCCGGCGGAAAGGGAACACGTGTGCGGGGCAGTAGATGAATTGCTGGCGGCGGATATTATTTCGCCGTCCAACAGCCCTTGGGGCGCGCCCGTCGTTCTGGTTAAGAAAAAAGATGGTGGAACGAGGTTTTGCGTCGATTTCCGCCGGTTAAACAAAATTTCGGTAGCGGACGTGTACCCCTTACCGAGGATGGATGACTCATTGGATGCTTTATCGGGTGCTAAATTCTTTTCCACCCTTGACCTGTCCTTGGGCTTCTGGCAGCTTCCCCTCGATGACGAGTCGAAAGCCAAAAAGGCATTCCGCACGCCGCAAGGTCTCTTTGAATTTAATCGG